ATGATGCCTATTGGATGACTAGGCTACTCACGGACTGTCATCCTAATCTACCTCACAGGGTTGTTGTTGAGAGGATAAAATGGAGACCTTTGTAAGCCACTTGGGTTCCTTGCAAGAAAAAAAGTCAGGAAATAAATGCAATGGAATAGCAGTAGTAGTAGAATGCATTTTCTGCACTCTGCCAAAATCAAAAGGGCAAAAAAAATCACTGTAAAACATGGAAGATGCCCTGGGGGAAGCTGAGCATTAAAGGACCCACAAACTTCTGTGAGTTAGGGATCACAAGAGCACAGTTCTGTAGAAATGCCTGGAAGATCCCATATTCAATCCCTGACAAAACAGAGATTCCAGAGTGATGCTGTCCAAGACCCTGGAGAACCAGTGTCAGTCAGAATAAATCAATGAGCAACCTGACCTTCTATGAAGCAGCTTCCTCCATTTTCTAGCAGCTGATTACCCCTCAGTCAAACAACAAGACCTCATCTTGCTCAGCATAATAAGCAATACCTTTAAATTGGAGTCTTGATGTCTCTGAGAAGCTCTGATCCTCTATTCATGCTTTTTCCTGTACTCATAAAACATATGAATAATCTTTGAGAAAATGTCATCCCTGCGTGTTAAGCTAGATTTTTTTTTTTAATGCAGACTAAAAAGCCATTTCAAGATCACCAACAACTCCTTCAAAAAAGAAGAAGAAGAAGAATTTAACACAGTCTAATCTCTTAATAATTCCCTAGTATTTTTAATCAAGCTTGTGGTCAACCCACTTCTGGTATTTTGTCTTAAAAACCCTTTCTGATACTGCTATTGGCAAAATAGCAAAACCCTGATAAAATGCAAAGATGAGAAGTGATTGCATTTCTGCTCACTGCTCTGCAAACTTTATTCGAGGAATCATAACCAAGATAACCATGACACCAAATAGCCTCACAGTGCAGGCTTATGAAACACACTGTAATGTCTCTAAGGGAGTCATTAGGCTATCTTGTAAATTGCAAGGGAATCGCTCCCTATTACAGATTGTTATGATACCCCCTGGGCTGTCCTCGGTCATGTCAGTGAACTGTTAAAAGCCTTCTAAGCCACAGTTCGATGTAATGCATTAATAATGGCTTCGTTTTCTAAAAACTACTCACCACCTCTCCTCCCATTAAGCTGGCACAGATACCCAGCGATCGAGATTTAAAACACACACACAGGCTCCTCAGGTTTGGAAGTCTCCCCACCCAATCCAACATGCTCTGGAGTGAAAAATTAACTTTAACCCATTCCATCCTCCTCCATGCCCTGAAAAAGTAAGGTACACTTTCAAAAATCTTTCAGTGGCCACAAAGCTGAAGCCTCCAGAGGAGATTGTGTCCCCTTCGATGCCTCCCTGACATTTTCCGCTTCCATTTTAAAAAGTAAGTCTTTAGCCCTTTTGCTTCTGGAAGATGCATAGAAAAGCATCAGGTCCTCACTAGGCCAAGGGTATGCAAAACCTCTTAGCTAGACAGCTGCCTGGCCACTGGGGAATCCTTCCAGGGACTCACATGTGGGTGGGGATCAGACATCACTGAATGGAGACAAGACAGATGAACATGGACACACACACTTACACCACCCCAGGGATACAAATGTGCTAAAAACACACACACGTGAACATGTATTCAGTATCCTCGCTCATCTATTGGGAGCACATGAGGTGGAAAAATAAATTGTCCCCAGCAAGAACAAGGTCACAGTTACCGCACTGAGCAGCTAACTTTCCTCACCATGCAGCTGATGGAGAAACATGGTGTGGCTTCCCAGGCACCACGGAAAAAGACAGTTGCCTGTGCATTAATAGTCTTACCATTAATACATAGCATTTATATCCCACCTTTCTTCCTTTGCAGGGACCCCAACGAGACTTCAAAGGTCAATAATTAAGTCAGAAGTGAGGAATGTGCAACCCTCCAGAAGTTACTGGCCTGTAACTCCCATCAGCCCTGGCCTGCAGAATCGCTGGTGAGGATGCTCTCATGTCTTCACAGTTAAGTCCGGGATGTTTCGGTAAGGACTCCCTGCCTCCTTATCACCAACAGTTTGGTGAACATGAAGACCAGTCTTTCCCAACTAAGTTGCTTTCAGATGTTTTGGACTACAACTTCCATCAGCCCCTGCCAACATGACCAGTATTCAGGGATGGTGAAGCTATAGTTCCTTACAGTTACTAGTCTGCCAACTGGGACCAGTGCTGGGAACACAACTGGCCCATAGTTAAACCCTTGCAGTGACTTCTGATCCAAATTTGATGCACCTTCAGTAAGAACATAGCCCAATGTCAGGTACAAATTCAACAATACCAGTAAGCTTGTCAGCATGCCAACACAGGGAATTTCTCATATGAACAATCATAATAGCCTAATAATTAAAATAAGAAATCAAATTGGTTTTCTACTATTCAGTGGAATGCATGAATTATGTGTGCAAATTTAGGGGATATATATGCAAACTAGGATATGGAACTGATCATCTTGAAGTGTTTGTCTACAGCAAAGGTGGGACCAGGTAGCTATCCAAGTGGTTCGGGCGTCGACTCTCAGAAGACCCTGCCAGCATGGCCAACGGTCATGCATGGAAGGAGTTGACATCCAAAGCACCTGTAGTCACAGAGAAAGAACTCCAACTTTTCCACATTCAAAGCAGTCACAGTGCCCATGAAAATATAAAACAGTATCAGCTGGAAGCTTAGTACCAGCCTCAGATCCATGCCTGCTTCAGGCACTTCCAATTCTACAGCTGCCTTCCTATTTCTTCTCAGGGCAACTAAATAACCCTTACCATTATTTCCATTAGGAATTTCATCTCTAGTGTTGTTTACAGATCCACTTCTGGCTGCCTTTCAATAGCAGACAGTGCATACCACACACTAGACACTGATGACACTTGAAATTCCACACAGGCCCTCAGGAATTGGTAGAAAGTGCACAGACCACCATGATAAAAAAAACCTCCTCCCAGTTGTAAAGAACGAGAAATGGCAGAGTAAGCAGGACTGTTTTTAATGGCATCTTGTCAGCACTCCAGTCAGCTCCCCAGGAAATAAAAACCATATAATCTTGTTTTGATTCCAGAATCTGACCTTATCGCTGCATGCGCTGCAGCTCAACTCTGTTTTGGAATGCCATATGTTTTGACTGCTCCAGGGAATGCCTTTATGCTTTAGACGTTAAGACAATCACTGCACTCACAACAGGAGATTTGAAGCAGCTCGGATTCTTCTGTCATTTCACTGTCGCAAAGCTTCTGCTGCAGTGGACACTGTGCAGATGTCAATGGAAGCACCCTTCCAGTTGTGTGCCTCCAGCATCCCGATCTGTTGTCCATTAAACACACCGTTTCATTTATAAAGACCTTGGGTACCATAGTTCTCACTGATATAATTTAGAATTTGGATTAGATGAAAGAAAGAAAGACCAGTGTGAAATGTGCAGCAGACATTATGCTGTATGAATGAACAGGGCATCACCATTGGCGTGGTAATCAGTTTGGAAGGACCCATCATCAGAGCCCCTTGAGCCGTTGCTCCAAGGTGAGATCAAATAATGCAAGCAGTTGTGTTAATCCATGTCAGGAAACAGGTTCTAGAAATTTTCATCCCCATCAGGAGAACTTCTCTTTTATAGCTATTGGGTCTTCCTCAGTCATCCAAAAATGGCTTCATCCATTACAACAGGAACAGCTCTCAACTATATATTGCTAAGAAAATTCACTTCCTCACACTGACTGTGTTGAGGTTTGCAGGCAAGCTTAAAGGAAACAAGGAATCTTGAAGGATCAATTGTCCCTGCCTCTTAACACCCACAGTCCCATGCTTCAGCTCTGACAGTCCTGAGAGACTATCTGACTGCCTGTTGGGAAATGAATACTTTCTCACATTTTGGGTGCCTGCAGCTGGATATGAAACCAACCCATCCAACCCATTGCGGTACCTTCACACGAGGTGAAAAATCAAGATCAAAGAAACACAGAAACAGAGTGAGTCAGAAGGGACCTCCCGGGCCATCTAGTCTGACCCCCGGCTCCAGCCGGCTCCGCTCACGACATGCCCACCATGTGCATGCTCAGCCTATCTTTTAACACCCTCACCACTGGGGCCTCAGCCACCTCCCGTGCAAGCCCATTCCACACCCTCGGGGTCCTAACTGTCAGGAAGTGCTTCCTGGCATCTAAATGGAACCTTGGTTCCCTGAGCTTTGCTCTGCAGGGGCGAACAGGTCTCTACCCACCTCCGTGTGACATCCCCTCACATACCTGTATGTCCCCAACAGATCCAGAACTGTAGCATATACACTGGTAGGAAAGATGGAGACACTATTTTGCACAATTGGTGCTCCTGCACTTGGAAATCATCCATGTGGCCACTGAGATCTGCATACTTGGATCCCCCAATTATTACTGTCATTGTCATTGCATTTCTATACCACCCAACAGCCAAAGCTCTCTGGGCAGTTCACAGCAGCATACTTAAAAATATAAAATACCAATGAAAACATAGTAAAATATCATAAAAGTTAACAGTACAAAATTTAAAACCAAACTAAAATAGAAAAACACAATTACACAGTAAAAATAACCTGTTAAACCCTGTCTAACAACCAGCACTCCCTAGTAACTAATCAAATGCCCTGCAGCAGAGGAAGTTCTTTGCCTGGCACCAAAATGGTAGTAAAGTTGGTCATTCCCTAACTGGAGGGGCCACCACTGGAAAGGCTCCTCTGCTTGTTACCACCATTCAAGCCTCCCTCAGAGGTGGCAACTGGAGAAGGGCCCTAGAACAATCTTTCCATAGCATAAGTAACGGGACCTCAGCATGCAGTTCAGTGACTCAAGATCATACTCAAATAGTATTAAGTCTGTGCAGTTGCATTCCTCAATGGATTTTAATTCTGTACTGCACTACAAAAGCCTTATGTACATGGTGCTTGCATGAAATTGACAGAAGACCCCAAAAGGGTGCAAAATCTTTGACTCACCATACTGGCAGCGTGGACCATGAAACCCCACTGGACACTGGCAGAGCTGGGATGTTCCTTCAGCACATTTCCCTCCATGGAAGCAAGTACCAACAGAGCACAGAGCTGGAAAGGTCGGGGAAAGAAAAGGAGGAAGCAACCATGAAACAAGGCATCCGCAAGCATTCCCCAAGGGAACAAAGGCGACGGATCCTGCTTTGTGGCAAATAAGCCCAGCCAGCCCTCCAAGAATTACTGACACTCTAATAAAAAACTACCCCTGGGTGCAGAGGTGGTGCTAGGGGATGCGCCACTAGGACAGGGCAATGCGTCCTTCATTTGGAGCCCTGAATCTCTGGGAGCTCATCTGCCCCACCTGTGCCCTTGTTGAAATAAAGGTACAGGTGCACTAAGGACCTCTGCAACGTTTGATCGGCCTGGATTTTTGCCCAGATCTGATTCCTCTTCTGACGCTTCCACCCTGGAATCTTTCTGCCTAAGTTCTTCTGTTTTTTCCTTTTTAAATCAAATGCCCTCCTCACACCCATACATACATCCCTTTTTATAGATGGAAAAGGATGTCCTGGAAAGACAGAGACTTTTGACCAGAAGCAAATCCATGCCTTTTAATATCCTGTGGCCTGAACCCTGGCTCTTTTCAGTTCCTAGCACCAGCACTGGATGGGACCCTTATCACATGTTTGCACGCATGCACACTCATCCAGAGCCAACTGCACCTTCCTGATGTGAGCATAATGGAGGAGGCTACCAGTGGCTACTAGCCTTGCTGGCTGTGGGCTTCCTCTTTTACCAGAGGTGGCACGCCTGCACACACCAGCTACTGAGGAGCTTCAGCAGGTGAAGGTCTTGCACCCATCCTGCTTGAGGGATTCTGCAGGCAGCTAGTTAGCCACTGTGTGTACAAAGTGCTGGACAAGATGGACCTTTGGTCTGATCCAGCAGGGCTTTCTTATGTTCTTATGATCTTACATAGTCATCATGACAAGTAGCCATCAACAGCCTTATCCTCCACAATTCCTGTATCATACACCTGTCTCTGAACACATTTGCAGCTCTCACATCTTTTAGATCTATATACTAGTGTGGTGTAGTGATGAGAGAACTGGATTATGACTTGACAGATCCAGGTTCTAATCTCTTCTTGGCCATTAAAGTCGCTGGATGTCTTTGGGCCAGTCACTAACTCTCAGCCTAGCTGACCTCACAGGGCTGTTGTTGTGGGGAGAAAATGAAGAAAGGGGGAGGGCTAGGTAAGCCACCTTGGGTTTCTTGCAAGAAAAAGTGTGGAGCATAAATGTAATAAAATAAACGTACTCTTTAAAACAAATGTTATGCATTAAGCAGCCTACGATATTTGACAGTCACAACTTACAGTGTAGGCATCCAGGTTCGTCATCATCCTTCCTGCCCCACCCAGGGCAACACTTAAAGACTGTGTGGCGTTCAATGCTGTATACCTGCTTATAGATGGTATAGTAGCCTGTCCTTTAAAAGACATAAAATAAAGGAAACAAGGATAGGGAGAAACAACAGTGCAAAATAAACACTCTCTACTTTGTTCAAGCAACAGGCATGGTCTACCTCCAGCACCTATTTATTTATTTATTATTATTTATTTATTAAAACATTTTTATGCTGCCCCATTCACCGAAGCCTCGGGGTGGCTCACATCACTAAGTTAAAAATAATTAAATATAAATTAAAAATATAAATATTAAATTAAAAATACAACAATACAGTATAAAATAAGCCGCCCTGGCCATATAAAACCAATAATGTTAACAGTTAAAATGCCACTTGAATAAAAAGGTCTAATGAATACCACAGTGTTTCCTTCTAGAAAGTACTATTTCAGGGTACATTCTCAGTTACGATCAACCAATGGTTCCCTTGTTTGTTCTGTAGGATCTGCCACAGAAGCAGGGTGAGCAAAAGATAAGTTGGGATCTACCTGCAGGTCTTCAAAGTGTTCTGGCTCCCAATGGGTTAACAAGAGCAAGTTGAAAAAAAATGCTGTGCCATAGATTGCCTTGTGCTAGTTGCTTGTCTCTGGGCGTCTCCCACTCACAACATAAAAAAATTAATTAGGTGTCTTAGATTTGATCTCTGTGTACCTCCACTGGCCTGTTTTACAGTTTTGTGCCAGAATCCCCAGTCTTTAGCCCACATTTGGTAAATACCTTTATTAAGACCGGCCTAAATGCCAAAAAAGGGAAAGAAAAAGGGAAAAAAGCAAGCCTTTTAATTCTGCAGAACGCCTCATCAGGTTGTGCAGTACAGAAAGCAAGAATGGTATAAAAGACAGATGGACATTTGTCCTGGTACCTGCATTTTATCTCAGTATATGGTTACTGGTGCATAGGACTGATGGGTGAAGGTCAGTAAACAACTGAACCATCATTTTATTGTTTTCTCCAACCCATCAGTGAAAAATAAGAGGAGAAGGCACATATGTTTTTCAAAAGCTATGAAAGAGAGTAAAAAGGTGACTCGAGGTTCTACAAAAAGCCTCTTATGGCTGTCCAATACATTTTTTTGTTCCTCATGGGCTTCCCATCTAGGTGAGGTGCCCAATTTTCACCTATATCCTTCACAAAAAAGTGTTTCCCAACAAAGGAAAAAACATTTTTCAAGACCTTGGGGAATGATAAAAGTTTGCTATTGAAACTCCTTTTTGCTCTCCATCCTATGAGCCACTAACACCTATCATTGAAGAACAGAGTAAGGAGCCAGCGTCACATGCGGGTCAGAGCAGTAGCGCAGGACTTAGATCTAGGCTGTAGTCCCCACCCGGTCATGAACTTACTGGAAGACTTGGGCTTGTCACTAACTTTCAGCTTAACCTACCTCGCAGGATTGTTGTAAGGATAAAATGGAGACGGAGAGGAGGAAGATTACGGAAGACACCTTGGTTTCCTAGCAGAAAAAGTGGCAGGATTTAAATATCGTACATAAAGCATGTAGATTCCATAACCTTAATGGCTGCCTATCCACATTCTAAAGGTTTGTTGACTTTTTTAGGGTGCACTTAGAGAACTGGTCGAGTATGTACGCTGCACTGAGCAAGTGGGTGGCCAAGATGGCTGCAAAGTGATCGGCCATCTTTGTGATTCTGTGTGCCATGATGGGAAGATGGAAAGGAAGATGAACTGTCAGAGTTTATTTCCCTTTAAACAAGGTAGGAGGAGCAATTACAACTCACAGAAGGTCCAGCTATAGGGGGAGAGTCATTCTCCCTTAGAGAATAAAGGGAAAAAACATAAAGAGAAGGGTATTGTTGGAAAGTGGTGGTGTTCAAGCAAAGCAGCCCCATTTCCACAAACATTCCCTGACACTTTGCTCTCTGTGGGTCGCCTGCCCTCTGCCAGCTTGTCACTGCAAGCAAGGGGAGGACAGGGGACAGATGTCCAGCCTCGGCTGGGACAACGTGCAGGGGGCACATGCTGCAAGATGGCCGGAGGTGCTCCTCTGAACACGGACTTCGCTGAGGTTGGAACTTGCCTCTGTTGCTTTGTCTCTCCAACACAGACCACCAGAAAAACAGTTTTTGGTTTTGGTTTGCTTTTTGCGGGCACAAAATAAATTAAATACAAGACAGTGGGCAGCCATGGGAAGCCCCTTCAAGCTCATCCCAAGGAGACTGCAATTGCAGATTCTTCAGCAAAGCTTTCCCATATTCCCCCCCGCCGCCGCCCCCCCCAAAAAAAGCTTAAAGGGACAAGCTACAGATGCCAGCCTAAATCAACCGATGACCGATGGCTGCAGAAGGGTGAGAGGACAGTCCTTGCCAATTGTCTCCAAGTGCCAACTGGGCACTCTGGGAGTGCCTGGCAAGAGCAGTCACTAGGCAGTGACATGGACAGGCAACAAGGGCCTTCTTGCCACTCTTGCTGAGGGTTCCTTGGCTCTGGGGTCTTAGTGACAGTGGGTCTTGTCTAAGTTTGGACATTAAGACAACTCACTGTAGTAACAAAGCCCTGGAATAGCCCATGAGCATTGCAGAGTAGCTTGTCTGAAATAAAAGCCACTTGAGGAAGCACCCGACAGCCGAATGCAGCAAGCAACTTGCAATAAATAACAAGCTGTGGCAGCTTGTCAAGTGAACCAAAAGAGGTTGTCCTGTCCTAAAGAGCTGCAAGAAATTAGCATTAGGTGTTTCTCTTGCCTTCCTTGACCATAGGGCAAGCTATTGACCTGCCTCCTTAATGCATGCTGCTTCTACAACTTGTCCTGATTTGTATTAATTGAGCAACACATGAACCTGTATCCTTCCTTCTGTTGTTTAATACCATCAAGTCCTCTCCATCTTCTGGGCACCCTAGGAGTGAAAGCGCTGCAAAATATCCTGTCCTTGGCAGCCTGCTCAGCTATTTCAAACTCGAGGCTGTGCTTCCTTTATGGAACTGATCCATCTCCTAGTTGGTCTTCCTCTCCTCCTGCTTTTGATTTTCCTAGCATCCTACCTTTGACAGACCTTAAAGCAGATATTTTGTTTACTTCGATCCTGAATAGGTTTTAACTAGCATTCCTGTGGGTCCAGTGTTTGTGTGTGTTGTTGTTGCTGTTGTTTCCCTAGCATACATGCATGAATGCATACTCAATATCATTCAGCAATGAATGAATCAATTAATGCTTAACTAATATGTGTTAAATGATCCTAAGAATGTACCCTTATAGACCCTAGGCCTAGGTCTTGGCCTAGGTCTGTTGTATACAGGATGTGAGCTGTGTGCAGCACAGGTAAGCATTCCACCCATACCTGAATACAACTTCTCTCATGCATTCTGGTCACTGATGGGCAATGCTAGTCCCTATCTGGCCTTAAGGACTGATACAGTAAGGCAACACCTGAAAGGGACAGTCGGGGTACATGTGGTAAAAGCATTTAAATATGGCTGGGTGTGCAAAGAACACCAGCATGCAGCTTGCTTTCTATATAAACCAGGCCTTATGGAGAATACTGGCAGCCAAACAGCAGCAGCAAAAGCCCCCAAGAGCACCCCAATGATGAATGGGCTGCTCCGTGTCCACAGAATGCTCATTAACTCTGCCAGTGGGGCAGGGGAAGGGGGGCAGAAAAGCCCTGCATCCTGGAATACAGGATCCAGGAAACAGAAAATAAAAGGCTGGTTGCCCTTTATATATTGCCCAATAGCAAACTCTTGGGAGAAGTGGGGGCACAGCAATTCAGAAAGAAACACAAAACCATAAGACAATAAAAAGAGCCTAAAATTCCAATATACCAAACTTGAAATACAATTAAAATCTATTTGAGCAGCTTAATCACATTTCCCAATACAACTAAAGCAATGTAAAAATCCCTCAAATGTTGTAAAATACCATTGAATGCCTTAGAGAAGAGGACAGTATTAACCTGGCAACAGTAGGTGCCGGGGAAATTCTTCCATAATTGGGGGCCACCAAAAGGAAGGCCCTTTGTTGGCACCTTCCAAGTCTTTCTTAGAAATGGCACTCAGAGGAAGGCTTGGATGTTGAACTGGTTTCATTTAAGAACTTGCCATTCAACAAAGCATGGCCACACATTACCTTCTCTCATAACCCAGACACCATCTTGATGCTGCACAGCCCTGGCTCCAGGTCTTTACCGTACGGCTGAAAGCTTGAACGCACGGCTGCTGGTGTGCCACCATTGCCAGCTCTTGTTCAGGACATACATTTGGCCTAGAACGTCAAGAGAGGAATTCAAGTCAGGCCAGTGCAGTGCAGAAAACACATAACGTCATAAGTAGAACACACCAGCTGGTCCAAACTTCATTTTGATCCTCCAGATGATGGGAAGGCATTGCTGGCTAACGAACAACTTTCACCTGAAGTTCACACAGTCCTTCACACGTAAGCCCTTTCAAGGATGATTCACACCTTGATTTGCTTGATTTCTCATTGCTGGATTGTTCAGCACTCAGTGACTGTATGTGATAAATCTGTGAACTGACTGCATCAAAAAGCATCGCATCCAAGAGGATATCAGGCAAATACAAACTTTTTTTCTATTTGCCATATGAAACTATTCTGAACTGAGTAGGGTGGCTTGGTCCACCTAGTCCACTTTGAAGAATGAAAGATCTCTAACATGTTAAGCAAATCTCTCACTCCAGAAATTCTGTATTCAAATCTCACCTGTGCTTCTTGCAAGCCACTCTTTCAGCCTCAGTGCCTCCATAATGCATGATGGGTAACAACAACAATACTGACTTAATCTACAGCAGGGATGCAGAACCTCAGGTCGTGTCCCTTCCTCTGGCTCCACCCTTTTCCCCAACCAATTGTTTGCTGCAAGTTCTCCTCATTCTAAAGATTGAAATGTCTCTCCAAAGACACAGACTGGGTTCAGATGACATGATGACCCACATTCAAGGGTTGAATATGGTTTGAGTGTAGGTCATGACTAACGTGTGAGTTATCATGTTGCCTGAACCCAGCCAAGATAACAAAACATGGTGAGCCACCCACCTGTTCAGAGCCCAACAATATACCATTAGTCCCTTTAATGGGTTGTTCATGGTTGACAAGCCATGCTGGCTTCAGACAACACAATAAACCATGTTTCAGCAACGATCCACAGTAAACTTTTGAGTGAGTGCTATCGTGTCTGAAACCAATGTTAGCTACTAGCAGAAAAAGCCTTAATCTAAAGTACACCTGTATTGTTATTTTTGCCCCGATTTTTTGGCCTGGGTCCAGCATACCGCTGGAATGTGACTCAGGAGATTCTCCAAAATGGAATGCATACCCTAGCCTGACAGAGGTTATGCAACCCTTCCCTACAGGGTCATTTTAACATTTATAACTAGATCGTGTTTCTAAAATGATTTTAACATTTGCGTGCCATATGCAATGAATACAATGAGATATTATTATGATTTTAACTGGAAGGGCCAGGAATTGAATCTGGCTCAATCTATATGCAAAGCATGTGTGCTCTCTTGAGTTGTGTCCTTTCTCTGTTCAAATACATGTACGTGCAAATGGTTGTGCTTGCCTTTGCAAGCACAACTTAACAACAATTTTGTGAAGATTGTTTATTCTCAATCCTTTCAACTAGACTTCTGAAACAGGAAAACAGCCTCTGTGACCCCAGGAGAATATTTACTCTTTTATATTTAAAGTAAAATGGCTTTCATCTCCCAGGGACACACACACACGCACCTCTCTGCTGCAGCACTACATCCAAATTCCTTTTCCTGAGAAGCATTATTTGCCTTTCCTGAAAAGCATGATTTGCTTTTGTGTTGTCCACCAACATTTTCTTACAAACACCATCTAGTGAAAGCCAGGAGAATTGCACATTCCAGAACACCAGATGTAAATTGTGAGTTTCAAAGGAGCTATGCCTAACCTGCTTCATAAAACACTCAGGGAAGACAGCAAAGGGTAAATACCTAAAAAAATCAATCTAGGTTTAAGTAAGAGTATTTGTTTTTCTAAAGTTAAATCAAATTAAAGTTGATCACATTAAACCCAGAAATTTCCCTAGAAGCAAAAATGACAAAACTGAGGCTATTATATTTGGGCCCATCATGAGAAGGCAAGACTCCCTGGGGAAAACAATCGCACTAGGGAAAGTCACTCCTTCATGGATCACTGCCTTGTCATGGTGAAGGGGCCTGTGTAGCTCAATGAAGCTATGAGCTATGCCATGCAGGGTCACCCAAGACGGACAGGTCATAGCAGATTGCTCTGACAAAACGTGATCCACTGGAGAAGGAAATGGCAACCCACACCAGTATCTTTGCCATGAAAACCCCATGAACAGTACCAAAAGGAAAAAAGATATGATGCTGGAAGATGAGCCCCTCAGGTCGGAAGGTGTCCAATACGCTACTGGGGAAGAGCAGAGAGCTAGTACTAGAAGCGCCAGAAATAATGAAGCGACTGTGTCAAAGCCGAAAGGACACTCAGTTGCTGGTGTATCTGGTGGTGAAAGGAGAGTCCGATGCTGCAAATATCTATACTCCATAGGAACCTGGAATGTAAGATCCATGAATCAAGGCGAGCTGGATGTGGTCAAACGAGATGACAAGACTGAACACCGACATCTTAGGAAGCAGTGAACTAAAATGGACAGGAATGGGTGAATTTCATTCACATGACCATCAGGTATCCTACTGTGGGCGAGAATCCCTCAGAAGAAATGGAGTAGCCTTCATTGTCAATAAAGGAGTAGGAAAAGCAGTACTGGCATAAAATCTCCAAAATGACAGAATGATCTCAGTTCGAATCCAAGGCAAACCATTCAACATCACAGTAGTCCAAGTCTATGCCCCAACCACTGGTGCTGAAGAGGCTGAAGTTGACCAGTTCTATGAAGGGCTACAACACCTTCTAGAATTAACACCAAAAAATTATGTCCTTATCATCATGGGGGATTGGAATGCTAAAGTAGGAAGCCAAAAGATAACTGGAATAACAGGCAAGTTTGGCCTTGGAGTACAAAATGAAGCAAGGCACAGGCTGGTAGAATTTTGTCAAGAGAATACGATGGTCGTAGCAAACATTCTTTTCGAACAACCCAAGAGATGACTCTACACATGGACATCACCAGACGGTCAACACAGAAATCAGATTGACTGT